CAAGTTGCTTTTTGTAATTACTCTAGCAGAACTAGAATAGTCTCGTTCTAGTATCCCCATTAGTCATCCGCAGATCCAATGACATGTCCATCTTTTCATTTCAGCCAATGAGAATCGAGTTTCAAGTTTAAAGTCAAGCAAGCCACTCCATCTCTGGAAAATGACAATTTTGCAGTTAAAAAGACATCTAGAGCTTGCTTTTAGTGTAAACACGCCTCCCGTGCGTGTCTATTAGTTGAAATTGTCTATATTAATTTTTATTTTTTCTTCAAAAATCTCCTGTCTAAGTGAGTGAAGTGAGCTCACGTGAGGGATGTTTTTCTTCAGTTGAGATATTAATCATCATATCCCGCACTTCGCTTTCCTGTTTAGTCGCGCAATTTCCCGCTTTGCAGGGGATTCCAAGTAATAGGAAGAGGTGCCTAGATCGAGTCTGATTCAGCTCAATTTGTGTTGTATTTGTGAATATTTATAGTGCCTATGAAGTGTCCTGGGATAGATGAAGGGAATTGAGATTTTTGTTTATCGCAACTTCTTAAGCCCTACATGTGCAATTAGCCTAAGAAGTCTGAGCCAAAAATAGTATTGCAGTATGTTTCATATCTCAGTTAAAACTCTGTTTTATTGTTTCAACTTGGACTTATCCCGTTTTCTTATATTATAATTTGGTACATTCCTAAGCTTTCTTGCGCTTCCTTAAAACACTCAAAGCCAAAAAGATTCTGAATAATTAAATTCTAAGACTAATTTTTAAACTAGGAAATGACCAACGTTAGATATTTTTTGAATTTTCTGTGACAATGTTGAGTGTATGTTTTACACAAAAGTTTTTGGGCTGTGATATTTATAATTTCTCTCCTACGAAAAGAAAATTCGGGTTATAATTGGCCCAGTTTGTATTCTGAGGGAGCGTTCGACTTAGTGATACGCGAATAGCAATGATTGATGACTCGTTTAAAAGTGGAATTAAATTTTGTGTATTTCTCTGCACCTGAAGAGTCCTTTCATCCCCTCCATTCCCCTCCTAGTCCCCCTCTGTGTCTGATTGGACAAATGGGAAAATCTTCAGATAGCGGGATTACTTCTGCAGACAGCTAACATTTTATAGCTCTTCGGGGGGATGTACCGCTAATACAAAAACAGGAAGATTATATTAAAGTGAGCGGCGGTGAAGGGGATACTAGAAGGCAAAAAATACAGAAGGGGAGGAAAAGTTAAATAGTAATAGTATTAGCTATTCCGTCTTTTTGTCCTATTTTTTCTGCATATTTTTACCGCAATTTTCCAACTTTTGTTTTAAAAAATGTATAAGACCTGGATGCTGCAATTTGCAGTATTTCAGTTACGTGGAAGCAATAAATTGAAGTGCAGCTGACTAATTTTAGGAAAAGTGTCTTTTTGTGGTCTAGTTGTTCCGTTTTGACCTGCCGTTTACTGAGGATATTCTAATCTGATATACATTCCATTTTCAGCTTCTCTTATTATACTTATTAGACCTGATATGACTGTACCCAAAACCAGGGATAAATTCGTACAACTAATAGCCGTGAAAATGAAGTCACTGATTTGTATTCCATTTTAGTCGCAAAAATGACCTGGGAATTTGTAGAAAACCTGATTTAAACTGTCTGCGTTTTATTTTAATTCTCCTTAAGATGACATCATCGCCATATAGACCGACCCACTTTTTCAGACTAGGCAACAAAACTACCAGGGTTTAATCTGATTAGGAAGGAAATGATAACAGTGTTATAAAACCCAAAAGGTATCTGCAAATCCTAAAAATAAACCCAAAATGAATGACTGTGTGTGAAAAAGTGTAAAAATAAAACTACTACCCGAGTAACCTTGGGCTTATCTCTGGTTTGTCTGGGACCCTGGTTTCAATCTTCCATCATTTTGCTCTTTTCCTTTTTATTCCCCCTGATAATCTTACTACTTCCCGGATCAATTGAGCAATCTCCCCCCCATTCTCGCGTGGGGGGGAGATAGCTCAATAGGTACTTGAGATATGTTTATAATAATTTTGCCGGGGTAATAATTTCGCGCCCTTTTATTCCTATTATTCATCTCCCTGGTGTATCACCCTCAGCAATAGTTTGTGGTAGAGGGGGACTATTCTCATGGACGAACGGCCGAATGACCGAAAATCTAAAACCAATAGAGGGAGGTCCTTGAAACTTAAAATTTAAAACTGATTTTCACAATTCTTGAAAATTCTTAGTAATAATAAATTGTGCGAAGTGTTGCTATATTTTTCTTTCATTAGATCCTTCTGCCACGAGGGTTTCGCCATTAGTAGTAGTAGCATTAGCAGGGATATTAGAAGTAGTATCTAAAAAGTGGTCACGCCCTCAGTCTTTTCATGCCACTGCCCCTTCCATTCACGCCTCTCATTTCTCTTTGAAGTGTGACTAAAGTCAATGCGAGTGCCGCCTGCCGCATCTGCTAAGTTGACAGATTGGAAACACTCGTGGATTTTCCTCTTTCTAGTCCAGAAGGAGACTGTCACTAGCACCGGATGTGGACTGTAATCTGTTGATTGACGACAGTTTGAGTGGTTTCGGAAGCAGCAAAAGTTTCCCTTTTCCGCCTGGTTTTTTTAGAAGAAACTTATATGAATTGCGATGTTTTTAGAATGGTAGCTTATAATGCCTTTTTTGTACCAGTTTCCTTCAAAATTCAGAACAAAGATGATATTTTTACAATGGTTTTTTTTTTTGAAGAAAATAGGTGATATTTTTGTTTTTGAAGATTCATGTATGTGGGCTCATTAAAAAATTTAGTTCAAATTCGCGAAGTTTTCGAATTAGAGTTTTGATTTAAACTCAATATTTTTTATTTATGAGCAAGAGTACATGAAAAAATAACAAAAGTCCTTGCTAATGGGGACTTCGTAATCATTAAATGCCATCAATATTTCTGATTGCTTTTGAATTATTGTCTAAAATGACGTCAAAAATATTGGAAAATTTATTTTTTGGAGTTTGTATGTTGAAACGTCTCAAACGCTGAAACGAACCATGTATGTTTTCATATATTGTGACGTATTTGCATTTCAATCTGATCAAAAAGGAACTTGACTCGTATTTATGCCAGCAACGATTTAAAAATCATTCTTATAAAGGGCATATTTCTTTCAAAAATGTCCCAATCAATAAGCTGTTGCTTTGTACTTTTAATGTACGATATCTGCGTCACGGAGTTCTTAGCTTAATCTCTTTTTTGTGGTGAGGGAGTTAGTTAAAATTGTTGATATTTTTTAGTTCCCACTTTTATAGCGCTTTTAAAATGGGAAAATAATCGCAATTTCTCCAATCGATTCTTCTTGGTCTTTTGTCCTAGGGCAATATAATTATTTTTATCTGCTCTGGTGAATAGTAATTAGTAATTTCCGGCGTGTGTGCGCGTGCCGATCCATTCAGAGGATTAAGCAAAGTAGCTGATGTGGAAATTGATTGTCTAAGAAGCCCCCTAATTGCCCCTCGTAACTCTTTCTTTTTCCCCTGTTCCTTTTGTTACCCCCAATTTATCCCACCTATCCCCCTTCATCCTCCGAAAATAAACACACAGCTCATTAACTGCTGTATCGAATTTCGACCGGGTCACAATTGCCTTGTTGCACGCACACGCACACGCATGTCAACTAGCAACTCATTAATAAAATTGCCAAATCGCATCTAATAATTATGTCATCTTTTTTGTTGTATTTTTCCTCAAGTGGAGGCTGCTATTAATGCGCGGCTTCGCAATGAATGAGGAAATGAATAATGATGACTATCAAATTTTTGATAATGCAATTAAAAGAAGGGGAAATGTTGATTTAAGAAGGTACAGGTGCAAAATAAAGGGTTGACTAAATAAGCTTTTAGCAAGAATTTTTTGAAAACGTCTCAACTTAGATAACATAATCTGTCAAATTGTTTGTTTTAGTGAAATTAGTTTTTTTCAAGATCAAATTAGTTTTTTCAAGTAAGTATCGTTTTGATTGACATTGAATCAGAAACAGAAGGAAAAGCGGCAATAGTTTTAGTCGTTTCTCAAGTATGAAGAGCATTGAAGCTTGATTTTATCTTTGAACTGTTCGAATGAACTTGAGTTGTATGTTCTAACCCCTAGAAATTTACCACATTCAATTAGTAAAAACAGTAATGATTTTTGAAGCTTTATTCAGTTCAAACGGTCGCATCCGATGTCTGAGTATGTATAGCCCGTTTTTGATTTTGATGATGAAAGTTAATGCAAAAATTCATGTTATAATTGAGAATACATCGCAAGTTAACACGAATTCGCTGATATAAGATTTTGTGTAATGAAGTTTTAAGACCAGACCACCTTCAAATGGAAGAAAAAACACATGATGGTGATGAAAAAATGAAAACAAAACCACAAGGATAGCCGGTTGCTGTGCAAGTAGCACAGAATGTTCCCGCCATATTTTGAAAAAATGTATTTTTTTTTCAAATTGCGTCGTCTTTAGATTCTCTCATCACACCGTGAACAAAAAAGTTAAGAGACATTAGACAACAGTTTTTCTCATACAGAAATAAAAAAATTCAAAACATTCTTTCAAATTTTTTGCAGATTTTTTTTATTCGTTCTTAGTTCTAAATTCCCAAAAAGGCGCTAAAAGAAAACTAGGTAATTAATTTGACTTCAGTAAAATTAAGTAAATGTTAGTTTTAAAATTTACTTTCATTCGCTTGAAATTAGACGAAAAATCAAAAAATACAAACCGGTTTTTCTCGACAATGGGATTTTTTTGGACATTTTTGTTCGAATCACGACTGAAAGGGCTTCAATATGATATACCTCTCGACCCATTCCGATGATAATTTGTGCTATCTGATTTTGTGTGGAAAGCATAAAAAAGAAAAATTACTAAAAGACCCGAATAGAAAGTTCGTCACCATATTCAGTGGTCGGAACGTTAAGGTGCCGCAGAGGACGTAAATGGTCACGGGACTAGACTGTGAAATAAAAAATGATGTTTTTTTCAGGCGGTGGGTGTGGGTGCGGAGTTTGTGAAGTTGGGTGGGTTCTGCAGGGGAGAGAGGGCGTGCAAGTACAACAGACTGATAGAAGTGGAGAAACAACTGCACAACACAGGCGCACTGCAGCAAAACACACAGACCACATTCACCATCGCCAAACAGTCAGTACTTTGAATGATCATTGGTAACAACTAATGTATAACCCCCCCCCCCATTTAATTAATCGAATGTTAACGCTGCGACAACTTTCACATTTTGCACCGGGTTTCGAATCTTTCTTGATTGGGTTGAAACTTTTATGTAACAATTTGGAAGGCAATGAGTTTGTTAGAGAGTGATTTTGGTCGCAAGCTTGTGACCATTGTGTTATTCCAAAGCTATCTTCCAGAACTCGGTCAAACCTTCATAATCCTAGAGTTAGAAAAAAGTTGACTCTGGAGCGAGCGCTAAAATGTATATCGCAAAATCTATTTAGTTTCTGTTCTTGGGCAAAAATTTCATCTTTTAGCTTTGAAAAAAATAGGTTTGGCATGGTTTTAAGAAAAACTTGTAATAGGACAAGCTAATCATAGAAATGCGACGAAAAATCAAAAGAATCAGAAAATACTCGGATAGCCGGAAGCCAGTGACTAACTATGGCATCAATTCCTATTATTAACTACTACTACCACTGTTGTTGCAGTCAAACTTAACCTAGTTAGTACTAAATCTGTCAACGTCCGGATCAACTTCTCAAGGCAATTTCCAGATACATTTCTTGCTTCCACGTTGACTAGTCAAGGCCACGTGCAAATACAAATGGAAGTTATCCGGCTTTTGGTTATTAATTGTGCTGGCATGTATGGCTATTTTCTTGTATATTTGGTATCAATAATTATGATCCTGTTGCAATTGATTGGCGTTTGTTTTGCTAGCTATTTTTAAGTTGGCTTTTCTGAACAGGTTATTGAAGCACTTCGCCTATCTCAGATTGTAAGTTTCGAGTGTCTGACATTTAATGTATGCTTTCATAAAACTCCCGCGAGTAGTAATTGAAGCTAAGTAGAAAGCTTCTAAAAGTGTAGAGAAAATAGAAACTCCGATTCAAAAGATTACAATATCTATATCTACAAGTTAAAAGCTTCTAAAAAATTGCAAAAATAGAACCTCTAATTCAAAATATTGCAATGTCTGTTCCTTAACTGTCATATCCCTTTATATTTAATGCGCAAACATAATTGAAACTCCTGATTCCGGTTAAGCTTTCTTAATGGCTTCTCACGTTTTGAACATAAATTAGTTCAATTTCGTCTTGTGCCTCGTGTAATATAATGAAGTAGAAAGGCTCCGTTTTTGGGTTTCAGGTCGTTGATTGTCAAAAAATGGTTCTTCTTTGTATAATTTATTTATTTTTCTATCAGTTTTGCTCATAAATACTTTGTTGTAGAACTAGAAAATAATTGGTGCAAATAGAAAATAATTCTTGTGACCTTTTTAAGTTCGATTAAATGCTGCTGCCGGACCAAATAAAAATCTGGTTAATTTAGCAGCTGCTGTCACTTTTACCTCTACTTAAAATAGTTTGAGATTGAATTGTATATTCAAAAAAGCGTTTTTTATTCAGCTGAAGTTTTCAGGTTCCAGTTTTTTATTGTTGTGCGTAAAAAATTTGATGAAATCGAATGTGCAATATAATTTCCTATGCACTTGTGCTTAAGTTTCTTCAAGTTTAATTTCGTTTTTGTCTGAATGTCAGTTGAAAATAGTGTCATTTTTACAGCTCGCAGCCAGAAGAGACGAGTGAAGAACAGGCAGGCGTCGAGCAGAGCGAAGGATCAGAATCACAACAAACAAAGGCGGAGTGAGATAGAGAACAAGTAAACAAGCAAGTGCCACTTGGGACAAGAGAGACGAAAGCTCTGTTGTTTGGAACGAGTGACTGACAGAGCACTAAAATGAAACAACTGTTCAAATATTCATAGCATCTATCTTGTCCCATTTTATTTCTGAAGGCGTTGAGCTCTTAAGCTCTGCTTCATTAAAAAAGAAGCGAACCATAACAAAAAATTGAGCAATCTGTTTAATCTTCCTTGGTTTAAATTTTTTGCAACTTAATTTGGATTTCAAAATTGAAAAATGTAAAAATTGAAAAGTCTAAAAATGTTAAATCGATAAATTTTTCATTCATCAAAGTTGAAAAATGTGTTCAAGTGTATATAAAAGAGTTGTATAAAAAATGATTTAGTGCGGTTGTAAATATGTAATTTAAATTCACGAAATTAATTTTCTTCTCTCCCCTGGGATATGTTTACAACAGCTTAGTGCATCCGCCCCCAAGGCGTAGTGGCGAGGCAAAATATACGAACAGACTTCCTGTAAAAAATTCTCATTCAATGTTAATGTGCTTTGTTATTCTCATAGAGGACATAATTGCGTTGAGATATATAAAGTTGCTGTTCAGCAATCACGAGTAATAAAAGTGGTCATGTTTGTGAAATATTTATGAGACTTGGTTTGTTCAAGTGGGATTAGCAAGGAAGGAACAGGTGTCCATTGCGTGATCAAATTGTGCTGATCGCAATCAGCAGGAGCTGCAAGGGAGTTACAAACAACGTGTTTTAACAGACGAAACTTGATTTTATGAGTCAAACTTTTGAAAGATAGTTTGAGCAGATTCAAACTATAAAACTGCTTGCAAACTTTTCAAATCCCAGATTTTTTCTAGTTTTTCTGATGGTTTTAAGATTTTTTCCGTGCTTCCGCTTAAATTTTTGCAGATTTCTCTGCTTTATTTGTATTGGGTGAAATTTGACCTTGAAGCTCGTTCGAAACCAGTTAGGGGTATCCCTTTTGCCCCTAACATTCATAAAGCCCCCTCTGTTTGTGTATTTGCGCATAATCGATTCGGGTGTGCGACTTGCTGGGTTTAGGGCGCGTTCTATAACTTCTAGTGAGTCAATAAACAGAGTTCTTCTAGAAAGGCAGAGGGATCAATGCTTACTTGTTTGTTGTGAAAGAGCAAAAGCACAGCTATTGACTGATTTGCTGCATTTTTGAAGTCAATAGAACCAAGATGAAAAGAATTTCGACTTATTCACCGTAAACAAAAAGAACTAGAAGAATTTAGATACGAAAATACTACCAATATTGTGATTGATCAACAGTATAATATTAACGAGCAACCTAAAATCAAGTCGATATATTCATTAAATAGTGATTTGTTTTTCTAAGATCAGAAAGCGGCTGTGATTTTTCTTGTATGATGATTAATTAATCATTTCTCAGAAATAGTACATTGTTTCTGCCAAAAAAAGTTCGAAAAATCTGTAACTTAATTCAAAAATTGGTGCAACATGCTTAGGACATCGTTGCTGTTTCTTTGACAAAAAAATCAGCTTGAAAATCAACTGAAATTTGTAATAAGCTCCAATTTAGCGATCACTAAGTTCTAATTCAAACTCTTCCTTCTAAAACTATTTTTATTAATAGAAACTTGAGAGTATGAGAATACTTGAAAATATCGGTTTTTAGCGCAGCTTAAACTGAAGTGCTCGCGAAAAGTTTTGAAGTGGCAAAATGGAAATAACGCGAAAATGGGAAGTGATCTTAAAACCATTTTTTTTTCAGTTATGATCGTTTTTTCAGATAGTCCTCATTTTTGCGGCAATAAAAGAGAAAGCGTCTGCTAATACTACTGCTGTCTGGATATTATAGAAGTAAAAAATCGATTTGGCGCTGAAATTGTTTATCTGACTCAGATATTAAGAATTAATTCCCCCTCCCCCGGTCGGTGCTGCGCTGCGTGTGTGTGGAAATGCATTGCACAGAACAAAGGGACTAGAATATTCGATGAGAAAAAGATTTATTTAGATTAGCTGTTTAGACCGAGTAGAGAAAGTACACACATGGAACTCCGTCACCGGCTGATACGTGCTCATAAAAGGAAATGTTTACTAGTGCTTATTTTTTGAAAATTTTTAACTATTCGCAGTGTTTTCAATGTCGTTTTTAATGTATTTTCTCTGTGCTGTGTATACTGTAGCATTGGGACTATTTCTTTGCCTCGAGCTTAACTCACGATTAAAATTCATCGCGCTTTTTTTTAAAAAAAAATCAGCGTATTTATTTAAAAAGATATGACTTCACGCGCGTATACGATGAAAAATGCCGCAATTTGTTTACATTGCTTGTAACAAAAATTTTAAACTTTCTTTTTCGTCGACTGTAGAATAGAAAATTAGAAATACGACGAGATTGCCTAATGACGAATGGTTTGAAAAATTACCTTTTTAAACTGATTTCCTCAAAAAAAAACAAACGACCTTGTAATGCAATTTTTTCTCAACTGCCGATTATTTGGGATTGAGCGATGAATATGCATGTATTTATTCATGTCATGGCGCGTAATTCTATTTTGCGCTGGTTTACTTTTGTGACTGACTAATGTCTAATGCCGTATTTTTATAAAATATTCACTAAATGCGTGACAAATGTTTGTTTAATTTTTTGTTGCGTTTCAGAAAAGACTTGTCAAAAACAAGACGGCTGTAACTGTGGTAATAAGACTATCTGAAAAGTCACCAACATAATTAGTTAGCTGAAGAAACGGTTTAGTACGTTTTAAATTTGGTGTAATGTGCGCTTCAGGACAAAACAAAAGCAATAAAGTTAAAGTATTTTGCAGTGATTGAAATTTTGCAAGGCTTCCGAATTTTATAACGGAGCAAATTTGCTCATAAGTTCGACTGAAATGTGTCATTTGAAATAAAATTGGTGTGTCAATGGCTTTTGACTTTTGAAACGCCTCTTTGAGCTCTGTTATGTTAATTGAACTCCAATGTTCATTTTTTCTGACATTTAAAATGCGTTTTTTAAATGTTTTAAGTGAGTGTTGTTGCATCCCAAATTGTGATGTGAATCTGTCGCTTTTGACCATGTGACTGTTTTGAACTAGTTCTGCATTTGCGAGAACAAATATATCAATTATTCGATACAGAAAAAATAAAACAGCAAAATTTTCGAGGAGACCGTTGGTCAAAAACTTGTTTTGTTTTGGGTGCAATTTTGTATGAATAATGTAAATATTGCTGAAATAACGGAATAGAATTCTTCAAATAGAATTCTTCGAATATTTGGTGCCTAGTGAGAACTTGTTTGTTTTTTGAAAAGAAGGTGAAATGACGGAAGTTATTTGAATTGCTAACTGAAGAATTTGTTGAAATAACTTTGCTTTTACAAAATCTACATTTAATATCCATGATAATGTTTTCACTTGCTTTACAAATACTGAATTGAATAAATTATAATGGCTTTTTAGTTGTTTTTTTTTGCTCTATCTCTCTGATGCAAGAATTTTCATTCGAGGAATCAACGCAGTTTCTCAGCTCGTAGAAAAGCTCGTTTGACGAAACCTTTTCCACAAAAAGTAGTAACGAATAGTTTTCAAGGCTAAAAATGTTTTCGAGAATTTGTTCCGAGTTGATTCCGTAGTTAAGAAATTTTATACTAGATATGATTAATTTTAGGCGGTTTCAGAGAGAATAGAAGGAGAATGAATAGGTTAAAATATGCTAATTGGAAATTACAAAAAATGATTGAATAAAATAGAATAATGAATCGAATGCATGAAATTGATTTTGCTGGGAGGAACAGGAACTAAGCACGTGGACATACAACACATTACACGACAAGTCACGACAGATTCCCACGAATTGAGTATTCGGAAAATTTGTTCACAAGACATATTCTCGGATTATGACATTTTGCATTTCACATTTAGCTTCATTCACTTCACAAAAGCTAACTTCACAGGTAGTTCAACATGTACTGCAGTCGCAATGATTTTCACAGTAGATCGAAATTTAATCTGCTGGTCAAAAGTTAAGACGTTTCAGTTTTCACCCGTTGTTCCTGATGTTAAGATAGTCATCATGTAACTCAGTTTCGCATCCAACATATCGACAAAAAGTCACTTTAAAAGCGCCAATTTAACTGCATTCTTTCATATGATGTTAATACTTTGTCACTGGTTGATTGAATAGAAAGGAAGAACCAATAATCTATAAAATAATAGCACGAGAATTGATTTGAAAATTATTCTACGAGTGAATTTCCGCTCAAACGAAATGAAAAAAACTCGTGGATAATAGGCAGGTTATTGCATATGTCACTAGCATCAAATCATTATCAAACTAAACTGCTCCCCCAAACTAGTGACAGGAGAGAAAGGAAAACACAGGTGGTAGAAAGTGTTAGGAAGAATACGATTTTGATGAAAAAATAAAATAGGCAATGTAGATTAAAGCGACATTCACAACACGAGAAGCGACGGAACTTTTCAGTCCAGTTACAAGTTTACAAAAAGTCTCATCGGAACAATCGCGGTTTAACCACTTGGGCAAATTTTTGATTTTGTCTGCCAGAAACATAAGATAGTAAAACAGAAATATTGCCTGATTTTTGGGCCGGTTCAACAGCTATGCAAGAAATTTGGCAATGGGGTTGCACATTAGATGAGTTTTGATTGGAAAAGCTCAGATCAGCTGAGAACAAATCATATCACCAAAAGCACAAGTTCAATTCCGCCCGCCGTTCAATAATTATAGTAACAATTTTAGCACCCGAAACCCGTAGTGGTCTGACCCCGTCTTGGAGTGCGTACAAATTGCGTAAGAATTCTATAAAAACACTGATATAAAATTAAATGAGCTGAATTGAGAAATTGAACATTTGGAACGTTTGCAGTTTTTTGACACTGCTTGTTGTCAAAGCGATGGTTGTCAGTACTTGTTCAGCTGGGGCTGATGTTGATGTTGGTTGTGGTTGTGGGTGTGTTTACTGGCACTTACATTGGCGGACATGATTTGCTGCGGATGCGAATTAACAGACGACAGAATTTGATGATGTTGAGGAGCATGATGATGTGACGTCATATTGTTGTACACCTGAGCCGCTCCTGAGGAACCGCACATCACAGAGGATGAAACTGCCGACGATTCCAAACATCTTGGGACTCCTGCTGCCGACTGGGTCACCATTTTGCCCATGTGCTGCGGGATCTGAGATTGCTGCTGCTGTTGTTGTTGTTGTGACATGGCAACTTTGTTGGCAAAAGTCACCCCGGAAACATTGACCATGTGATTGGAGGCAGCGAACGTAGAGGGAATCGAGGCATACGATGGTGCAGGAGGAGGACACTGCTGGTTATTCATCTGCATTGCGCTTGAGTTCACAGTTGAAATCATCTGCTGGTTTTGCTTTGTAGGAGTCATGTCCTGGCTCGGACTCGTTTGGCCAGTGTTCTGTGGGCAATACTTGATCGTATGTGCGGTATCGCCTGAGTCACCGCAGATAGGACAGGTGTAGGCTCGGAGGATTGGACACAAAACCCTTCCGTCGTCGTCTTTCAAGATGTGCGAAGCATAGACACTCTCGACTTCACCGTTGTTCTTGCAGAACACACAGAGTCTCTTGGCATTTAGTTTCCGTGCGAGTTGGACACTCGGAGGCACTCGACCCGAACTGTTCACAGGTGTTTCGGCGCTCGTGTTGCTGTCGCAGGCGGATCCCACCGACCCGTAGCTGCTGATTCTCGACCGGGATCTGTAGTTTGAGGGACTGTGCATGTGCTGCATAGGAGGCGAGGCTGACGATGAGGTTCTGGCGTCGGCGAAGATTCGGTCGAACTCGCTGTAGATGTCTGTGCTCTGAGTGGGCGGCGAAGGCGCTTTGTCAGAGAATACGTCGTCGTGACTGTCAGCAAGTTTGACATTTGTCAGAAGTTGAGACAGGCCGAGATAGTCATCGTAACGTTGGAATGATGACGGGTTGTAGCCCTGGGCCTGAAGGTATGCAGCAGGGTTGACCATAGCGGCCGGGTTCACCATCTGGGGGGCTGTGGGCGCCCTGAGAGGCTGATAAATGTGGGGGAAAGACTTGAAGTGGCTCTCTCGTAACATCTCGTCAAGCATCTGCATTTCCATAACTGATCGGATAAAGTTAGCAATTTTTTCGAAGGCAATCAACTAAATTAGTTGAACAACTGGTCAATTTTATCGATCTCAAGATCGTATAAAATGAAATTGATTTTTAATAATTCAGTATTTTTGACAAGGAATTCAACAGATGCGAAATCTGGGACTTGATTACTTCTGGAATTTTTGAAAATGACAAAACCTTCGATCAATCGAGGCAATTTTTTCAAAATAAATTTTCGAAGTTAACTGGAAATTTAATTTTGCTGATGGAAATCTGCTATAAATTCAGAAGATAATTTTGCTTGAAATAAATGTGCTATTATTTTGGCTTTTTCTTCCCAACTGATCTGTTCCTTTGTAATTCAACAAATATTTAGAAAATAACTTTCACTAATTCTCGTCGGCCTTATTTAAGTCTATTCTCTTTATTAATGCTTTAAGCAAAGGCACCTAGAAATCTCTCTGAGATAGAACAAATTTTAACCAATCAGAGCGCTTTTATAGCTGAAATTTATTGTAATTTATTTTATAAAATTCTTTTATTTCCTTAAAAGAACTACTTTTACCCGCAAAAATTATTGACAAATAGCACGGGGAAAGCACATTTCTTTCCTTTATTTCTATGAATGAGAAAAAGAAAGTCTAAATAACCGAAAAAGGAAAATTAAAGAGGAAATACTTCAACTTTGTTTAGAAAAACTGCTTCGTTAATTCGAGTGTTTATGAAAGAGGGTTATTACCTTCAGAAGTGAACAGGGCTAAAAAAAAAGAGTTGACTTGATTGGGGTGATTAACTTTCAAATTATCAATGCGAGCCATTCAAAATAATCACAGGAACGAGCATTGCAATTTAAGGGCGAAATTCAGTTTCACTGATTTTGAGGTTGGACTCGGTCGGTTTTCGGGAAGTTTTTTTGTAGCTACAGAGATCTGTAGAAAAATTGTCAATTGTCTAACTTCAGACAACTTATTTCGATTATCGTTCACTGTTAAATTGACAAAAATGACCAAAATGTGATTTTTGATGAAATTTTATCCAGACGGTTTCTTGATAAAAAAAAGATAAAAACCAGAAAAGTTTCGAAAATTGGCTGGATAAACAGTTGCCAAAAATGATTTTGGAGCAACCCGAAACCATTTTAAGAAACGCGTTGCAGGAATTCTGGAAACAATTAATTGAGTATTAAAAATTTTGAGGCTCCTGAATTAGTAGATAGTAATAGCATCAATCATGTTTAGGAAAAGGTTATTGCACTTTCTTAATAGAAAACAATAAATTAAGGAAATCAACTAATACTTAACTAAAATAAGATCAAATCAAATTCAATGTCCAGTTTGAGCCATTCGCCCTAAATTATGGATGTCATTTTGTTGCCAATTTGAACTTATTTAACGATTAAATTTATCTTTTGTCATTCCTCAATTGTTCAACAAACTTAATGTCGCTAAAAATTAAAAAAAAACTAACTATAATCAAAATAATTTTTCAATATAAATTACTATTGCGTTGTTCTTAGTCTGAAATCTAAATTTGAGAAATTGAGGCTCAGAAACGTCAAATTAGCAACTCAGGTGTAAAGGGAGCATATGGATAATTGAGAAAGAAATTTTTTCGGAGTGTCATCCGATTCACAACCAAAAGGGCTCTAATTTGATATATCACCCAACCAAGTTCGATGATTATTTGTGATACCTGATTTTGCGTTGAAACAAAAAAGAAAAAAAAGTTTTTTTTTGAGTTTTCAAAATGGTCTTTTTCAAAATGGTCGTTTTGTGAGTTTTAAAAATGGTCTTTTTCAAAATGGTCGTTCTCCTCATTTTCAAAATGGTCGTTTTGTGAGTTAAATTTGAGAAACGTTTTTGTTCCGACCATTGAAAATGAGAAGGAACTTTGTATTCGCGTGATTTACTTTTTTCTTAATTTTTTAACGCAAAATCAGGTACCACAAACAATCATCGAACTGGGTTGAGTGATTTACCATATTAAAGCCCTTTTAGTTGTGAATCGAACATTCTGAAAACTTTCCCCAGTTTCCAGAAAAACCGGTATGAAATTTTTGATTTTTCGTCTAATTTCGAGCAAGTAAAATGAGCAAGTAGGCTCAAGTTAGAATAATTATGCTTAATTTAAGCCTTAAAACTTAATGTGGCTCAAGTTAAGTTAGTTTTTGGAGTTCTTGGCGCCATTTTGGGATCCAAAACTTCAAAAATTTTCTAAAAAAAAGTGAAACAATTTTGAAAACTATCTTACAAATTTTTTTGCCTTTCTAGTCATTCTACAAAAACTCGTTTCAAATTTGCCTGTTTTACTATGACTGTCGCGTATGTCTAATTTCTAGTTTTTTTTGTTCTGATCATTTTATTAAAACACGCAGAAAAAATCACTAAAATGAGAAAAAAAAACGTTCAAAATTTTTTTAAGACCAGTCGGAACGTCTTGCACAGTGACTGGCCATTCTTGTGAATTTTTGGAATTATTCAGCTATTTTAATACCAACATTTATCGTCAAAATTTATATAAAATTGGCTCGCTCGAATAAGCTGAAATTTTAGCAAAATTAGATATCCATTCTATGAAGCAATTTTTTTCTTCCATTTCCCCCCCGGTGTAACTTTGTCTGAGAAATGAAAAACATCAAGTTTTTACAGTTTTTCTCACTTTGAGAGAACTTTTTTTAAACTTTAAATAAAATCTGAGGCCTGACTGAAGCAGTTCTAATCAATACTTGTTTTGCAACAAGGATTGATAGCGGTGATTTTTTTGTTGTGAAACATTTGACAAGTTGTTGGTATAATTTTGGTTTTACCTTTGATTGGCTGGTTTCCTTTAAAGCATTTGTTACCTCACGAATATCTGTGACGATTTTGCCGGAACAAAAATGTTTTCTACTCCACCTTACAAAGTACGCTCAAAATACATTCCTTAAGCTTTGTAGCTTTTATGGGTTTTTTAGCTATTTTTTTCCAATGCTCCGGTCAAAAGATTGCGTTGAGTCAGCCAGACGTTTTCTCTAATGATTTCCTCCAGTTTTTTTACCCTTCAGAATTAGTTTCGAAACCCACAGGTGGAAAATCACTGACACGAGTATCACAGATTAAACACATTATTTCGAAACAATTTTTTTAGGAAGTATATGAAACGCTTTGAGTTTCACCATGAAGTCCAATACTCAAGCTATTTTAAATTAGTTCATCAGTTCTTTTCAAACGCGTTAAGTCAATTCGGTCAAAGACAACTCAGCCGATATAAAAATCAGATATTTCAAGCCAAAGTCATGCGGACAATTCAGCCAGAGACAACTGGGCCCAAACAGTGTGCGCCTCATTTACGCTAACGTTTTGCGTTCTTGCCAAAAGGGGCGGCCAATTAAGAGCTTAGCAATTAAACTTAAACCGACAATTAAATCCAAGTCCGTTTTTTTTCAATCTTACTTTTTGAAAAACTTGCTGAATGGTCCCTTGCTGAATTGTCTGTATACTTTTGGCTGGAATGTCTGAATTTCAATTTGTCTTTGGTCGAATTGTCTGTGCGACATGTTTAACACTTCTCCTTATTTTTTCGAGTGGAATGTGCCTTTTTGATTTTCAGGATATCAGCCTCTAGGTAACGGATACGCCTGGGACGACGAAGGTCTTGGTATCGAATCTGAACGAGACCTACTTTTTTCAAACGGTAAATATTCTGTTTCAATTAAAATTGTCGGCCAATTATTTGTCTGCTTATCTGTTGTCAGCTTAGTTGTCACATCTTGAAATCATTTTTTTTGCTGCGCGCATTTTTTTTAAGTTCCATTTAATGTTTGATTTACTCCTACAAATTGTAGTTTCACTTATCTTGACTTCGCATTTCCGTCTTTGTTTTTTTATGTTTCGCTTAAAAAGTTCCTCGGCCCAAATAAATTCGACGTAAATTTTTATCAGCTTAATGACCTAATTGCGGGTTGTTTCTATGGAAGACGAAGAAGACGAATATAGACGAAGGTTGTTTCTATATTGTTTCACTCCTTTCTGCACGTTTCATATTGTATATTTGACAATCGGTTAGTTGAATTTTTTTTCATTATGGAAAATTGTTTCCAAATTCATTGGAAAATTTCAAGTTTTTCTCAGAAACTTCCACTGATTATTAAAAAAGGGTATCAATCGAAAAACCGCCTACCCCCCCCCCCCCCCCTAGAGTCTCTTTCTACTTGAGCCCCTAGAGTTTTCTTTCAAGTTTTTGAAGTTTCTCGAGAACTACCCTTCCAGATCTGAGATTTTGCATACAACCTAAGTTACAGCATTCAATAAGTGGCTGCACTTGATTAGTTGACGGTTTTTTGAATTTTTCTCGCTAACTATCCAGCCAAATGTGATATCATAGTTTTAATCGAAACAACAGGTTGTTGAAAGCCTCCCTTTATAAGTGCGTATGCCCAATATATTTAAGAAAAAAAGAATGTCCTTCAAACAAGTCAAAAATTTGAAACTTTGACAGTTTTTTTTTTGCAAACTTTTTGACTTAACGCGAAATCAGGTTGTGTTCAATCGAGAAACCCGGTTTTGGGTATCTTCTCTACTTAAGTGGCCAGAACCTGCTCTTTACAGGAATAAGTTATTGATTTTGGAAATCCTTTTGAACGTTTTGTAGAACCTTTGATCGTTTTATAAAAAAATTTTGATTTTTTAAAATTTATGCAATCAAATCTCAGATGCAAAATTAGCTGTAAGAACCCGTTGCAATGATGATTCCTGCAGAAGCGATGACTTTCTAATTTTTGTAAGAGAAATGTTATCTCCTTGGCAAGTTTCTAACTATATTTAACAAAAATAGTCAATTTTTGAACCTACACAATCCCAAACAGTATTAAAGAATCGAAAACCTGTGTCAGTTTGGATTGTTAAATGAAGCAGTTTCGGATTATTATTTTGAGCTGGGAGCAATTGCAGCCTTTTCTGTTTGGCTTATATGTGCATTAAGCAACGCGCATGGTTGTCTTGTTTTGTGCTGCAAAAATTTTTTCGCGGTACGCTTTTATGTTTTGATGCTAAGGCAATGTCTTCTACCAGGTTTGTTTGATCCGTTTGTTCGCTTTCAGGGGGCAGATCTATAATTTTCTCAAGGGGGTGCGTTTTTCAAAAATAAATCGAACGTTTTGTCAACTTTCGTATTTAGGTCGAACAAAATGATAGTCTGAGTTGTCTCAGATCACTAGAAAGACTCTTTTTTGACCAAAATTTGTGAGCCTCGGGCATTTCTTTGAAAAAACGGGCCAAAATAAGCATTTTGAAGCATTTTTTGGAAATTTTGGCCAAAAAAAAACGCCTTTTTCGGCGGGCACTGCCCGTCAAAATTAGTATATATTGGCGCCAACGGCGTATTCAGAAAAATTTCAAGACCAAGTTGTATGCCTTAAATTAGTTCCAAAGGGGGACTCTTTCGGTCGGTGGGGGATCGAATCCATGGGAAGGTGTAAAACTAAAACAAAATTGAAAGAAAAAATGGAAAATAAATTGAAAAATAAACATTTAAAAAAATTCTACTTGAATAAAAATATATCCAAAATTCTTGTCCATGGTGAGAGCTTTTTGTGCTTGCCGGTTCTTCTTGTGTTTGATTAACTGTCTGATTGCTTTTTGCGCAGTTACCATTATTTGTCATTCTGCTCAACTGACACATTTTTTGTACATTTAAAATAATGAGAAATTAATAAATTTATGTTGACTTAAAAGATGACGGACGTTAATTTGCATTAATTTTATTGAATACATTTATTTTATCCACCTGGATGGTACTATTTCTAGCATTGAAAAATTATAGACAAAAATTAGAGCTTATTTCCTTTTTTTTTAAATAAAAAATATATGATTAAGGTTGGAACATTCCGTGAACTAATTCCGAAAAGAAGACAAGAAAGTATTAATGTACTTTTTAAAACACCATTTCAAAAGTCACAAAGTCAAGGCAAGTTATTACCTGGTCATAAATTGACAATATAACATCAACTATAATGCATTTTGAGTTTAAAGAAATAACTTCTTCTGAGAATAAGCACGAATGTTTAGTCGTTGTTATGTATCAGCTCAGAATGCCAGATGTATTAATAGAACGTGATTTTTAAATGGGACAGAAAGGTTCCAAGAACAAAAAAGACAAAAAAACAAAGAAAGACAAAAAATCGAAGAACAAGAAAGACGACGAAAATCGAAAAGCAACTGATGATTTGAACAAGTCGTACAACAAACCCGACGATAGCGAAGATGAGAAACTCAACGAGGAGTTCCGACGTTCCGGAGGCTCCGAAGGTGAGACTGGATCGGACGATGATTCGGTCGGGAAATTAACACGAGACAGCAAATCGAAATCTCAAAACGATTTGTCGAGTCAAGAGGGCGAGAGCTTCGAAGGAGATAGCAACCTCTCGACTGGCGATCGAAGTGGCAACAAGGGATCCAGATCTGGCGACAAGTCTAAGGGAAGCAGTCGCTCGGCAAGTCGCGATGGATCTAAAAGTAGATCAGGCGAGCGTTCGAGAGACCGATCAAAAGACGGGTCACGTGATGGCTCAAGATCACGTGACGATTCCAGAGACAGATCTAAAGAAAGATCGAAAGATAAATCGAAAGGCAAGTCAAAAGGAGGTGGCGGAAGTTCCGACGACGATGGTCCCGAGGGGGAGCAGGAGGACGGATACTCCGACATTGACTCGATGCTGAGGGGGGACTATGAAGTTGACCTTGAGAAGCCTCCGACTGAGAGTGACAAGGTGTTCGATGTCAGAGCAGAGGATCTGGATCGCGATAAGAGTAGGTCAAGGGAGGGGTCTAAGAGTCTGAGGGCGCCGTCAAATCGCAGTGGCAACAGCAGTGACACAAAGTGAGTAACTTATCCTTTTCTGCTTTTTCAGAGCACCAAAATAGATTTTTGCAAAACTGCTTTGATTGCAACATCCAAGTTCACCCCTCCACTAATGATATCTTGCAAAGTGGCGCAATTTAGCTCAGAAGAACAAAATTTAGAGTAGAAAAAATTAGAGCAAATGTTATTATGATAGGTAAAATCCCATGAAGCAGTTCAATTCTTTTTTAAATTCAAATTTGATCTCATCTGTGTTTTTTTTTCTTGTAAAATTGTATACAAACGTTTTGTCATCAATTCATGAATTCAATCTATTGAAGTTCCAAGTTTTCAAATTCCTTAAAAATACCGACGATGCAACTTCGAAGAATGGACCAATTTATCGAAGAAGATTGTCAGGTACCGGCCTCACTCTGCCGGTAGCAGCGAGATTACGAAGTTCCTTCATTTTACCAAATTCATTGTCGTTATCAATATTTAACGAAGATATGTGATGGTTAATATTCTCAAACAAGCAATCCGCTTCTTCTCTAGACCTTTAAAATGTGTACGCCCTGAAGACTGCCTTCCTTACGATTCGTTGATTGAACCGGAATATTTTCTCAGAAATTGGATATAAATCATTACGTAATTACAACTTCATGAATTGATGATAGAAATAAACTTTCTGAACACGAAAAATTTTCACGGAAGAGGAGATCAAGCAAGGGTTTGGGGGATCCTGTCAAAATTTTAGAACATTTTAGAAGCAGATACAAACAGAGGATCCGAGTGAAACGACGGGTTAAGAAAGGGTTCTACAGCAAGCAGCGGATACCCCCAAACCCAAACCAGAACTCAAAACCACTCCTGTTTGGATCGAGAAGCCAACGGGGAAGCAGCCAGAAGAAAATCGAAACTGGAAGTATTGGCAAAAGCGGAAAAGGCGAAAATCAAGCAAAAGAGCAGAAAATTGACAAAGATGCCATGATGGATGAAAATTGCGAGGCAGCTCCGACGAGCAATGCAAGATCCAAGAGCCCTGATATAGTGGTACAAGACGACCAATCGACCCACCCGACGAAGCAGTATGCGCCCGCAAAGCCGAGGAGCGAGCGAAGCAATCGGAGTAATCGTAGCAATCGGAAAGTCAAGCGAAGGGCGCCTAGGAGTAAAACATCGAAACGAACTTTAGATGGCGGGGAGACCAAAGAGAAAAGTGGCAGTAGTAAAGGAAAATCTTCAAGTAGTAGAAAAGAAGTGAACGAAAAACTGAATGAAGAAAAGCTGGAGGAGAAAGAGACGGAAGACGAAGGAAACTCAAATGACGTCACAGCAGATTCCAAAGAAGACGTTGAACTTTGAGTTGATATATGTCGATTATATGATAGATTTATAATAATTACTTACTACTTACTACGTTGAGTAAAAACAATTTCCTATATATTTTTTTTATTTAGAAAAATTAGTTTCAAAAATTTTTGAATTAGGTTAAAACTGTATTGACAATTTCCTGACACACCTTCTTACTATAGTGTGCTTTTTTACGGGACAAATCAGCAAAATGCATTGTTGGCATAGTGCTCTGACCCCGTTTCGGTTCTGCTTCTATTTTATCAGTCCGATTTTTCCAATCTCACAGAAAACTTGTTGGGGCTAATTGTAGTATCATATTAAAGCCATATTGTTTCTGGTTCGGAGTCCAAAAAACAAATAAAAAATTTATTTAAATTTTGAGAAAATTTGGTCTGTATTTTTCCGTTTTTCCGTTGTAATTGACCCCAAAGTTAAACAATGGTACAAACAGTCGCAGAAATTTCTGACGCAGAAAAGTTTACCCAGAAACCAAAATCTGTGGAAAATTAATTGTTCTGACTTTCAGCATTTCAAAAAGAGTCTTCACCGACTTTTTTGGGAGCTTATGCGCAACATGTAGATAACGGTCACCATAAAGTTCATCAAAGTTATACACAAAGGCAAAAGTGAGCTTCAAACCATTTGCGATACAAAAATGAATGACTATGATTAAAATAAAATGAAAAAAAAAAATCAAATATTGAAAAAAATCTTCAAAAAATTGTCTTCTTTATCAAATTTAATAAAAAAGTCCAAAAAATCCGGAACGAAAATAGAAATTTGGCAAAAAGTATTTGAAATGCTAAAAATCCGTTCTGTGAGAACTCAGCCTGTAAAGATAAGCAGACAGACAAAAATTTAAGTAGCCGAAAAATTTTAAGTTTGCATAAAAAAAGATTCCGTCTGGAATTGAAATACCGGGCTTTGTCGTCTCAAGCATGGGTGTTACAACAGCTTATAAGAACGCTGAATCTTCAAAATAATTGGAGCAACGGGAATTAAGCCGACAAAACAATCGGATGGACGATAGTTCGGAAAAGCACGAAAACTCTGGTCTGCAAAAAAAGGTCCCAGCCGAACTCAATCACAAGACTATGCCGTCTCAAGCATGTGTGTCACCTCTACGCCAGATGATTGATGGAATTTGAGCTTTTTATAAAGCAAGTAGATGAATAGGACCAGGGTCCAAGAGATGAGTCTTTTGAATTAAATTATTTACGTGAAAAGTCTAATACCCTTTTGCAATACACTTGCTTATCGCAAGGGTGTTCAAAATTAATTTAAAACTGTGTTTTAAAGTTACCGGTGGGCCGCTACGCGAGGGCCGCCTTTTTGTCGCGATTATTGGCTCCAAATTTTATATAAAGTCTTAACCTCTGATTGCAAGATGGACACACGTTGGCCAACTGTGAGCATACTACGAGTTATCTTTTATTGCAAGATGTCGATTATTGCGAGCTGTTTTTTTATTGCGAGTTGTCGCAAAACGCTAACTCAGTCACCTTAACGAAGCAATAAATACCAAGAAGTTAAGAAAAGTTTTTGCTCGCGTGTTTTAGTTAATTTTTTGCTGCCGTCATTGTGTTCGGAACATTTTGTGCTAGCTGCCAGCATTCGGCTATCTTAAGTTTGCCATATTCTTAAATATGCCAGCTATCCGTCCAAATATGCCATAAAAGTAGCCTCTAATTTTCTCAGTCTCTCGAGGCGTGCACTAAGTGATACGCTGTCAAATACGTCTCTTTGAGTCTTCTGAGAGATCTATGCCACTTTTTCTGACCGATTGAGAGCTTGGCGAATCTCTAACATTTCAATTGCTTTTTCGAATTGAAACTTTTCATCGCGTTGATTGTTTGATCGAAATGCAGCCAAATACTCCAACACGTATCTTCTTTCCCAGACTCCCAAGAAAAAAAATTTTGCTGAAAAAAACCACAAAAATCAATTACCCAAAAAAATCAAGCGCCAATAAAGTCAATCATTACGAGACCAAACTGTGCACTGGATAGGCACTTATTTTTGTGTCTGTATGCTCCTGGCTTCTAGAGACAAGTATTTAAACTTGATCGAATTTTGTCGGAACGATCAAAGAAATTGAAAGCACAAAAGAAGAACAAAGGGAACGTCCTTGTTGCGGAATCCGCTTACAATTCGCAAAATACACAGTTTAGCCTCGTATTGATTATCCATAATACTTTTGGAGTATAATTAAATTGTTTTAATAAACGTGTGATCTTCAATGTAGCGATTTTGTTTCCCCACGGATGACTAGTCGAACAAACCTGTCAAAACCCGGGTTGAAACTGCTAATCAGACAATTTTCATATATGGAAAAATGCTAATCATAATCGTTTCACGCAGTTCCATACGCACAGAAAATTGCCTGAACGGTCTTTAATTAGTGATTTTTCATTTATGGAAATTGTATGACTAGTATTTTTCAATAAACTTAAAAAAATGATTTCTTTAAAGTTTGATTTCTCAAAAGTTTTGGGATGTGGTCTTAACCGAACACAAGTGACACAAACCGTAGTTTACTAAAAAAAAATAGAGCCATTAAAAGGTTGACCACCTTACAATGCATTGGAAACAATCTGAATTGTCTGATAATGGTCTTACAGAATTCAAGTACTGAAAGAATCAAACTTTAAGCTTTTGAAAAGTTTTTTCAAAGATGATCATGCTAAAAATTGAGTTTTAAATAAGTCATCCATTGATCAAGGAATGCTTAAACATGCCATATACAAAATAGGAGTTTTGTGCATTTTGTGCAACAGGGAACAAAATCTAATTTTTGTGTATCCCGGACTACTTTTGTAAAATTAATTGGAAAATTTTTTGTTCTCGCAATAAAAAAATTGCTAGTCATACATTTTCGACATATGTAAATTGTATGATTAGCAATTTTTGACAAAAGTTTTTTTTTCATTTAGTACAACACACTGATTCTTATGCCAAAACTAGAAAAAACTTCGATACCGCACTTTTGCAAAATTCATGAAGTTTGTATGGGTAGTACTTTTCCATAGACTTAGTTTATGGAATTGTATGAGTAGCATTTTCGGTCTATGGAGGTCAACCAGGGTAAATTCTTTTGCACAATTTTGTGCAATGCTTTGATGTATCATACAATTAGGAAAACTGGCTGTTTATTGTATTTGAGTAGACTTCCATTCTGGACAAGCAGCTCAGCTGAATAAATTTCCAATCTGTTTAAGCATGAAGATCTTTAACGCCGATTCTCCATTATATTTCTCAAATTAAATGTCGCTGGTTTCTATATGATTTTATGTGGAAAATTTAGGGGCATCCATCAGTGTTAAAATAGTAATACTGGTTGCGTTAAAATGGACGAGGGAGCAAATTGGTCCAAAAGTGAGGAGAATCTAAGAAAAGAAAAAATTACAAAAAAAACTTGCAATTAATGTTCCGACTTTTGTAATGAAGGAAACCGAATATTTGTGCTCGGGGTGGTTTTTTCTTCTGACAATTTCGACTTTCTAACTAATCATTGTTATTTTTAACTTAAATTTGAAAAAAAAAGTTTCACCTGTGATTATATTTTGCAAAAATATCGGTGGTTTAAAAATTGCCATTTTGGCCCATATGGGACAACTAACGTGCGATATGTATTGTGCTACTAACGCGTAAGCGGAGATTTAATCCGTCTTAGAAATCGTTGCACATTGGTTTGAAGCAAGCTAATTGCCATGATTGAATTGTTAATAGGAGCGAAATCTATCACCTTGAACTTTATATGGCGTGTGGGGGAATGATTTTCACAAAATTTCCAAATGAACAAAATCATTAAGTTTCTTACATTTAATATTTTCTTGTTGTTACTGCTCCATATACTTTAAAAGGCAGTCTTAACATCAAGGCTTCGCCCTGATACGAGTAGTCTTGTTACTTGTACCCTCTGTATTTTATCTCTAAGATGAGATGAGAATATTTTGCAAGACTTAGTTTTCCGGTGTTTATTATATGAAAGTTCCAGCGAACAGTTTTATTGGTGTTCGCTGGACTAATTTGACAATATTTTGCAAGAAAAAAGTTTCACCTGTGATTATATTTTGCAAAAAATATCGGGGGTTTAAAAATTGCCATTTTGGTCCATATGGGACAACTAACGCGCGATATGTATTGTGCTACTAACGCGTAAGCGGAGTTTTAATCCGTCTTAGAAATCGTTGCACATTGGTTTGAAGCAAGCTAATTGCCATAATTGAATCGTTAATAGGAGCGAAATCTATCACCTTAAACTTTATATGGCGTGTGGGGGAATGATTTTCACAAAACTTCCAAATTAAAAAAAAATCATTTTGTTTCTTACATTTATTATTTTCTTGTTGTTACTGCTCCATATACTTTAAAAGGCAGTCTTAACATCAAGGCTTCGCCCTGATACGAGTAGTCTTGTTACTTGTACCCTCTGTTTTTTATCTCTAAGATGAGATGAGAATATTTTGCAAGACTTAGTTTTCCGGTGTTTATTATATGAAAGTTCCAGCGAACAGTTTTATTGGTGAATTTATGAATAATTTGATCACAACTCAAGTTTTAGAACTTTAATATCAAATCCCACGACCGCTAATGCATTGCTATATCATATCAACTTATGTCAAATTAGTTGTATGTTTAATTGTCAAATTAGTTGTGTGGCCTTTTTTTATTGAATTACTGCTCCATAGACCTTAAAAAGCAGTTGGAACGTTCAGGGCTTCGCCTTGATACGAGCAGTCTCGTTTGGTTTCTAACTGATTTGAGCAAAACGTTTCCAATAAAATAAAAGTATCTCAGCTAAACTATATCAATCAGTAGCCCCAAGCGTGCTTATTTTTTTATTCGCCTAACTTCTTGAGAATCACAGTAGCGCATACTCATGAATAGCCATTTTTAAAGCAGATTCCCAAAGCTTGTATTTTAGATGCCAAGTACCTGATTTCAGACCGCTTTTAACTTAATGGTTGACACAGATTTTATTCTTCTGCAGAAATTTTTCAAAACAG